TCTGCAGGGGCTGTTGTTCATCAGCTTTGCAGGTGCACAAAGGTTTTGACGACGTGTCAAAATCTTTGATGGTTAAAGAGGTGTGCTTCAGATGGCCGGTCTGAAACTTTCTGTAGAACTACCGAATCACACAGGGTAACCCAGTTTTAAGGTTTTGATGTTATGATTTGCACAGCCAATCAAAGACTGACATGCTTGAGAGATGTTACCAAGACAACTGAAAAACACATCTTCTTTGACCGGATGTTCTGACTGGGTAAAAGACTATTTATGTGTCAGAGTTTAATGTAACCTTACATATTATGGTGTGAGTGCAGATGTTATGACCTTTGCCATATAAACATGCGGAACCACATTGCAATCATTGTAGACATAACATTCATTTCACACTTCAATCATTGAGCACAGATTAATGAAGCATTTCATTATAATATAATTGTTATAAGTAGCAATAAACAAATGTTTATTTAATGATTATCTATAAGTCATGGAAGAAGTTCATATTGATTTAGGAAATCATTCTTGAATTTAGCAACTGATCCGAGCTGGAGTGTTCCTTATGTGGAGACCTTGGGGAAGAAAGTTATTGTTGTCAGCAGAGTCTGTGAGCTCCAGCTGGTATGAAAGCAGGCTCATTTAAAGGGAACACATGCAGTCTTGTGTCTCCTGTTTGACCAGATGTTGAATAGATGTTGAAAGGTCAAACTGTACCTAAAACTGACCATTGCTGGACGTTACAAATGTCACAAATCTCAATCTAGGGATTATCATGTTAATATATTAGAAATGACTGATTGTTATGTGATCTTTTCTTTCATTGTTTCACTTATTATGTGGCTTGTTCCTTTTGAGAGTAAAGGTTACTGTGTCCTGCTGCAAGTTTATGCTTCTATTTTTAACTCTGAAGAAACAGCTTTTGTTCCCCCGTCAGGACATTTTAACCACAGTGGGTGTTTTGTCTTCATTTGTTTCTCTCCCTCCTGTTTTATTATGCAGCCCGTCTCCGTCTGCCAACACTCAGTGTCATTTAAATCCACAAGTAGAGAATAAAGGCACAGAGAAAGCAATGTGATGCATAAAAAACTGTTTATTTGACTTTAAAAGCCCGGTGCGGCATTAAGCTCATTGTGGAAATAATCGACCTCTTTTGTTTTGAGTTGCGGGGAACGTTACAGTCTGCTGCCAGAGAAAGTGAAATATCGAGACAATGAGATTTGGCGTGAGATCAGTATCTCAGCCTGACTCTTTGAAGTGTCTCAGCTCACTGTTGTGCTGTTAGCTGAAAGTGCAGAGTACCCAAAAGGCTGCTGAGGTGCTATCACAAGCCGTTCTTCCCGTTTCTGAATCATGAGGCGTCAGTCACTGGAGGGCGTTCCCCAGTTGTCGGGGTGGCATATTTTCACCATAGCATGACTAAAGCGTAGAGGATAAATGGGAAGAGCACCCACTGAGAGAGACTGTGTGAGCGCTCATTATTTCCCCTCCCCCAGTTCCTCCCCCTAAGGGCCCCACAGGCACATGCTATGATGGGCAGGTACATTCTCTGAGGAATCACTCGCTCGAAAAAGGAATAAAATCCTTCAAAAAGAAGCTCTTTTTCATTTTATATGGGTTATGCACCATTTTAAATGCAGCCCATTTGGCGATAAATCAGAGTTATTGAGGTGAAATGAATTGAATGCATTTTTCCAATACACTTTGATTATGTAATAGTGACATATTTATACTAAAAGCAAAAAAAAAAATAAATAAATAAATAACGCATAGAAATATTTGCTAGTGCCTTGGTTTAGTCCCCGATTTTGTTATTTTGGGAGAAAAGTGAATTGCAGACACATTGGCGCCAGAATAGTTGTTTATCACAAAATATAAAAAACAAAAATCCAGTTGTTGTTTACGGTTGTCTGATTCAAATCAGGAAGTTTTTGTTCATTGGAAGTTAGAGTGCTGTACTATCAACACTGATACCAGGTGAGGAGGATGGACCAGCGGTGTCTGTAGGTGTAGACAGAAAGAAAAGCTGTGGCAGACTGTGGCACCCTGCTGTGTAAATGGACCATGTGTTCACTGTCGGAACCAGCAGCCAGTCATTAAGGTTTGGCTGAGACTCTAATAGGGCCGAGCTGGAGCTCTCAGCTCTCCTGACATCAGTTCAGTGTTATGAGAAGTCAGACACCTCAGAGTTCTAGCATCCTACTAAAAAACAACAGAGATCCTTGGCAACAGCAGTCCTCCACAACATTATGACCACCAACAAGTAGTGTGTTTGAAGTTGCATCTTGGTGCTTTGATGATTGACTGTGATGTTTTTGTGCACAAGTGAGGACACCTTCAACTAGTTTGCTGTGGAAGGAACATAAGGGCTAACAGGCGGGGTACACCCTGGACAGGTTGCAAAACCAATGCAGGATAACACGGGGACACACAGGACAATCAACAATGCAAACATACACACACACTAACGCCTGAGGACAAGTTGAGAAACCAATCAACCTGACCGTCTGTGGGAGGAAGCCGGAGTACCCGGAGAGAACCAGCGCGTGTACAGAAAGACCCCAGGCTGGGATTCGGGAGTCGAACCCTGGACTTTCTTGCTGCAAACCACTGCAACACTGTGCAGCTCTAATAATAAAACATGCTAGTATCAAATTAAAGAAAGGAGCAATAATTTGGCTTGAAACTGAAATCGGAAAGGTTTAATCCCTTTACTGTAAATGGGCGATTTGTTTTGATAAAATTCTTACAACAGAGCTTTGTAGCTTTATCCGTTTAATTTTCCCTAGAAATTCCCGGACACCCTTAAAATGTGTGTTCGGTTCCTGAGTAAGGAGAAACATAATCCGGAATTTGAGCTGCCGTTGTCAAAAACTTGGAAGAAAAAAGATTGCAAGGGACTTTCTAAATTGTCTGAAGTTTGCAAGGGTTCCTGATTTCTACGTTTTTGAGGGAAAATAGTAAGAGTCATCACGGGCAACCAGAACTAATGCCAACTAAGCTTCTTGAAGTCTGAAAGTTAGATGAGTGTGGGACAACTCCAGGAGAGGATGGCCACCTAACTGCAATGATTAAAAACTGACATCATTTAGACCCTTTGTGACTGAATTACAAGAGATTTGCACAACTTATACAAATAAAATATTCAGTCAGTAGATCGTAAGTACCAACCTGATTCCAGACATTTTGTGTATTTCCTTACAATTTTGTGTTTGCAACTAGTCACAGCAAAGTACTTCCTTTAGATGACCAAAGTCAATAACACCTTATTTTTACTTTAACTTTAAGACTCAGGCAAAACTATTCTGTAGGCCAGGTGCCTTTATGTAATATAAAGGTGTTAAAGTACACACCAGGAAAACAAAACCACACAACAAGACAGCTGGTATTATTAGTATAATGCCAGAGTCATTTTCCATATCTGTACAAAAGGTTCATTCAAGCACATAAATGTGGCATTATCTCTTTCTCTGAGTAGAAATTACCTTGTCAGATGTGCATAAATGTGGAAGTGGAAATAATCACTTCACTCAATCGAAACACTGACAGCACTGTCTGTGGAAGCCATTAAATTTGTCATTTTGTTTTGTACGGTTCAGTTCATCAATAGGAGCACATCAGTGTTCAGGGTGACATACACACACACACACACACACACACACACACACACACACACACACACGCTGAGGCCACAAAGTCTCTGCTGGAGTCGGTACTCTCTGATTCCTCTTATAACAGAGCTGTAAAAGGAAATCAGTCTGAGTAGAAGACTTGGTCTCATTACCCACGGCATGTATCACCCAAAGTTGGAGCAACACGTTTGGAGTGTGCTTGGTTCACTTCTCTTTAATGGATGCCGGTAATCTGCCTCCCTCCTCGGACAGATTCTTCATCACATGGTCAAGATGTTCTCCGCCCACGGCTTCATTTTCTCATCTCATGTTTTAAACTCCCATCATGCAGTCAGATGCAGATTGATGCTTTCACTTTCCTTTAAACCCTTCTCCCACTTCTGGTCTCTGTTTGCTAGACTTCTCCTGCCGTAGCTTTGCACATGGAGCTGTAATTCAGCACAGGTGATAAAAAACAAACAGGCGGCGTTCTTATTGTGCTGTGTTGGGGGCGCTTGCCCGGCCTCGTCGGCGTCCCCTGCAGTGGCCACTAAACCGATTCCCTCCTCTCAGCTTCTGTTCATTTATTTCTCTGCAGGTGCGTCGTAACAAGTTGCAATGATCCACGGTTTTTATGTGGTTTATTCGGCAAAGGCAAAAGTTTTCCCACTCAGAGGAGCAATAAAACGGAGTGTAGATTATTACATTCTTGATAATACACAACACAAGAGAATTTTCAACAAGAAGTTTTTCTATGTAGGAATAATGAAACCATCTGAGTGATAGCGGCCAAGCAGTGGCATATCATACAGGAGGGTCATAGTTTCTAGAAGTTTAACTTTATTTCATTTACATTTTGCCATGTAACATAATAAAGTAAAAAAATATATGTATTTATCTCGCCAGAAGAATGTGCAATCACTGTAACCAAAAATGATAAATGAGCCGCACTTGTATGCCGCCTTTCAGAGTCAAGAGGACTCCAAAGCGCTTTACACTACAGTGTGTCATTCATCCATTCACACACACATTCACACACTGATGGTGATGAGCTACGATGTAGCCACAGCTGCCCTGGGGCGCACTGATGGAGGTGAAAAGGAATAGTCTGAAGCCGAGGCTAATTAAGTAGATTTCATGAGACAAAAAATAGTTTGAGTTGGGAGAATAGACTTCATCTGAGTGATCTTTGAGGAACATAATATTGTAGACGGTGGTTAAAGGGCACACTATCACATTTTTTCACTAAAATGTTGGTTTTATTTTCTTATAACAATTTTGTGATACATTTTGGTTTCTGGAACTAATTTAAAGATGCCAATCCTGAGGAAGTAAAAAAAGAAATGTCTCTAAACATTTGCAAGGTTTCTATGGGACTAGATTTGGGCCAATAATTTCAAGAAAAACTCTTAGAAGGTCAAACAAAAATTAAGAATGTGCGTGAAAAAAAATTAATTGCAAAAAAAAAAAAATCGTTTCAAAAGTGAAACTTACTATACGAATCAACTTATTAAAATGAGTAATAAAAGTATTTGTATTTATTATGTTTGACTCCACGTATTTTTATTTTCATTTTCCTTTGTTTCATTCTCACTGCTCAGATTTTTGCTCTCGCTACCAGATTTGCAGTTTCACTTCTCGGCTTTCTCCTTTGCGCTGCGTGAGGTTTTGATTGCAATTCTGGCCCAACCCTCTCGGGTGGGTGGGACATAAGAGAAGTGCTCTCCCATTGGACAGTGTGATCCTGAATGACAGTTTGTGACCCGGAACCAGAAGTGACGCTGTCCCGCGATTTTACTTGTTCCTCACGGGTCTTAGCGCCACCCACGTTCATATTTCCCCTGTGTACTGTGGATCAAAGTGAGTATTGATCGTTTATTTGATATTTTCTTGGAAACCCTGAGTTAAAACCCTTAAGTAAAGCCAAGTCAGGCATTAACCAGACGTTAGATCGCTAGCTACCTAGCCAAAGTGCTAGCCAGTACCCGAATGCTTTAGCAGGGCTTTGGTTGGTCACCTGCCAGTCTAAGCGAGGAACGGTATCATAACTAAACCAGCGCATATCACCCACCCCCACCCCTGCGTGTGCAGCCTACATTAATAATCTTGTTGATTAGCCATAGGAATCTGTGCAAAGTCAGAGAGTTTGTAGCTACTGGAGCTAACCTGTGTTTTAACTGAAGTCATATTTTTTTTCACTTTAGAGTAATGCAACAGCATGGCTTCCGATAAAGAACCAAATAAACAAGGCAGAAGGACTCAGGTATATGTTAAATGTATACTGAAGCGTATGTTCAAATTGAACTGAAGTTTTCTTATGTTGGGCTATATAACACAGTTAATCCTAGGTGATAGTATTAGTCAGGTAAATATCAGTCTCTCCTCTTGGCCAAAGATTTGTCTTGCCAACAGCATACAAATTTGAGAAATAATTGTTTGAATTGAGCTTTTTATAATGTTTCTGAACACAGAAAGTCCAACATTAGAGGCTATATATATTGGGGCTATTACCTACGTATGTATAAGATGCAGTACTTAACCATTACAACTTCACTCAACAGCAAAGATCTCCCCAAGTTGCTGAGGCGGCCACAGAGGCTGTCCAGAATATTCTGTCAGTTTTGAACCAGTCATTGGGCAACAGCAGAACAGATAACAGTCAGGGACAGAACTCAAGGCAGCCGCAGAGCATGGATGAAGAAATGGCCAGGTCTAAGTTTAATCATGTTTAAAAATAAATATTCTTCTACCATGTTATGAGCAGTGCTTTATTTGAATCAACTTTATATATATATATATATATATATATATATATATATATATATATATATATATATATATATATATATACTTTTTTTTTACTTATGTTTACATCAGTCAAAGTAACTGTTTATTATTTACAAATCCTGTCAATTACAGGTCTTTTCCTGGACTGTTTAGGCGGGGGACAAAGCGAAATTCACCATGCATGTACAGGCCAACAAAGATTGCCAAACACTGGAGCTCATTCAACTTTACAGTTTTTCTTCTGTGCAAAAATTGTGACACAACTCCTTCACCTGTTCAAGACTTGCAGCACATGCAGGCAGGTCTGGGAAAAAGAACTCTTTCAATGCCAAAAGACTTTACTCATGCAGAGGTACTTATTTTCATAAAAATGTAATTTTATTTGTGTTGACAATCACTATCAACAGGCAGCAATATGTATTAGTTGTTAATTAAGAAAAACATAAATTTGTGCTTGTCTTGTATTTTAGGTCTCCAGCTTGTTTCAGAGTACATATCCAAAGATGAAAACAATCAGTGGTGGATGGCTTTTGTACAAAGCAGCTGGTATTACAAATAACTCATCTGTATCTTGTGATTGAGCTGGTGTAGTTACTCACTGCTGAGCTCCTCTGACTTTTTCTAAATTTTGGCAGGAGGAAATGGACGGCGCCATTTATCTGTTGTTCCTCCAGAATCAGAGGGATACACTGGAAGTACAATAAGAAGTGCATCTGCAGGGGGGAAAACCATGCTGTACATTGTTCCTTTACAGGAAGAATTTGATCTGACACCTCTACCTCACGATGCACAAGAATTTGGCCTCATGCCAAAGGCTGAATGCAAGACTTGCCTTAAAATCATGCCTTTGCAGCTTCTTGCCCTACATGTAAAACAGTGCAGTGCCCCAGACACAGTTTCTGATTCAGAACTAGATTCGGAACCAGAGGTAAGTAAATGCAAATTATATGTGTAATTACTTTTAGGGATTTTAGATGTCAAGCAACCTTATAAATAATACACTTTGTTGGTCTACTTTAGGTTGTTGAGATACCCTGTCATTATGAAAAAGTAAGTCATTTTATAAATGTATATATATATATATAATCTTTCAGACTGTCTTCTAATATTCTGTAATCGAATTTCTCTGTTTTAGCCAAAAGAAGGAACATGTCCTTTGTGCCAAGTGGTTTTCCCAACCAGGGATTTGGAGATACATGCTAGTGTCTGTGGCGACGTTGGAAGTCACTTGGACAGGTGAATGACTTTATGTGTACATGTGTTCCAACCAAACCAAGGTGCAAATTACAGCTGCAAAATGTACAGTTTACACTGAAGTGACAAAAACTGCAGTCCTCCTCTGATCCAATGTTAAAAATGCCAACTTCATATCATAAATAAACATGTTTACAGCCTGGTAAAAAATAACATTTTAGGATTATTAGGCATGAGGGAGGTGAATTTTTTTGTAAGTCATCCATTTTAATGTAATTAAAGCTTAAAATTAGGAGTAATTATTTGATTTACAGGTAGCAGAAGAGTCATCAGTGTTAACAGTTTCCCTCCTGCTTCTTCCAGGGAAGACCTCAGCCTTTGCCCCATATCGACAATGTTACAGAGAGTAGCTGAGTCTCCCAGTTACTGTTTTCTTGTTTGAAGTGCCCGCCAACCTCGGTTCTCTTTAGTTAACTTGTAGCTACATAAGCTAAAACTTTGTTGGGTGTCAATCTTCTGCCTCACAGCCTCACTCTCGGCTCCATTTATGTATTTTCTGTGAGAGAAAAGACGCGTGATATAGCCAAAATGGTGATAATGGGAGTCACCCACTGGGCTTCAGCTCTTCAGAAACCTCTACAGGTGGCAGTGTGTATTAGTCTGTCTTCTATATACAGTCTATGGTCCCAACCCTTAAAAGTGAGTTAGAAATGCATGCCCATTTATATTCTCCAGTACATTATATTTTCGGTTAAGTAAAACTAGGATTTGAGTAATTCATATTATTTCAATAACGTATCAGCTTTCTTAACTATGTTCTTCTATCTTTATTTTTCTTTTTACAGTCCTGCCTCCTATGACTCTGCCAGTCCAGTTGGGTTACAACTGCTTCAGAATGAAGAAATGTCCTGGTACATGATATTTTCACCCTACTTTTGATTATGGAAAAGAGATCTTACAGCTGCTACTGACAAAAATCTTTGTTGAAATATTTTTGTCAGTATATTGTACTTCTTTCCTTATGCTGGATTAGTTTATATCAACACATTGCAATTCCCCACAAGTTCTCTTTTTGAGATCATTGGCAGCAGGGTTAAAAAGGGTACAGTCTTACGAGGAGTTTGGCTGTGTTACTTTTTTCTGCCACTGCAGTATAATATGGTTTGTGTGCAAGAACCTCAAATGTATGTAATTGTTCTTTTGTTCATAAACTTGTCAGAATTATTGTTTAATTGTCCTGAAAAAATGTTCTTGTTGTCTTAACAGTGAAGAGGATGTGCTACGATGGCTGGCAGCTCAGGTTGATGCGAGCAAAGAGTTCTGCCTTTGTGTGTCCAGAACTAATCTCATAGAGCGTGGACTAATGCTTTGGCAGCGCCAGAAGCACAGTTCACCACAAAATGTTTTGAAGGTAACTTTCATGGGAGAGGCAGGGGTTGACACAGGTGCTCTGCGGAAAGAATTTCTTACAGGTTAGTTAATATATTTGTCCATAGTCAACATGAAAGTAATTCATATGTTTTCAGCAACATCTTCACTGAGTGTTGACAGTGGCTTCCTAACCTATCTTTATTTAACCAATTTCCTAGAAATGATTGCTGGTATTGAAACCAGACTATTTGAAGGTGAAGATGGAAAAGGCAAAATGCCCAAATACTCCATCAATGACCTGGATAACGGGCTGTTCCGGTACAACTCAGTATCATACTATTACACAGTGCACCATCTACAGACATGCTTTTAAATCGCACTGTACTCAAACTAGTGCATTTCTTGTCTTTTCAGTGCTGCTGGTGAAATATTTGCTGTGAGCTTAGCTCAAGGTGGCCCAGCACCAAAGATCTTACAAGAATGGTGCTATGATTTCCTTTTAACTGGAAATCTGGAAACAGTTGATGTGAAGGATGTGCATGACCAAGAGTTGTCTTCATTAATCCAGATGGTGTGTTGCACAAGAAATGCATTTATTTTAGAAAATGATACTGTAGGTAGATTAAAAGCTGGTTTTGGTTTATGTTGAACAATAATTAAGAAATCACTTGTATTACTATAATTACACTTTTAATACTATAACATTATACTTAAACTTTTTGTATCCCCTTTGAAATATTTTTTTCTTAGTATTTGTCCCATCTTTTCGTAAGGGCTGCCATTTGTATCACACCCAGGTGACTAATTCTATGATGTAATGATAATTATTTTTTTAAAGTCCAACATGAATGATTAGAGAAATATAAGTGCCAATCAGCGCAGTGGCCTAGTGGTATGAGTGTCTGCCCTGAGACTGGGAGATTGTGAGTTCAAATCCACAGTCAGGTCATACCAAAGACTCAAAATGGAACCCAATACGTCCCCGTTTGAAGCATTAAGGAGTTTGACTGGGTGGGTAAACAACTAAATAGTTCTAGAGCACGGTGCCTGTGTCTGCAGCTCACCGCTCTCAAAGGATGGTTACAATGCGGATATGTTATTTCACCACACAACAGTGTGTGTCACAACTGCTGGGACTTTACACTTAAAGGGGATAAAGTTGACAAGTCTGTTAATATATGCATAGTGCAAACAGATTAGATATAAAAAATTATGGAATTTGGTATAATTATGTATAATTCTGTATTTATTACTGCCCTTAACTCCAGGTTGAAGAAGTGGAGGATTTATCATCTTGCACCGAGCAAATCATCAACTGTGGTTACACGGGACCAATTAATAAGGACAACAAAGACAAAATAAAGAGGTATATTAATTCCTTGTACATCATAATTTAAAGGGCATATGTTGTGTTTCTTATCATGTGTGGAGGTTGATTTAAGGATATAGTTGTGGCATAAGCCGAGTTGCCACTACTATCCCAAATGGTACACTTTGGACACAAGTTCTCTGTACAGCAACATGCTGTGCTGAATAAGTATAATGAATTTTTTTCTGTATGTGAGAAACTTTATGGTCCCCCAAAATGAAAATGTTGATTATATTGTGACCTTTCCGCTCTAGCCATCTTCTAACCTCATATTTGCATCACTTATTTAACTAAAAGGGTTTTCTGCAGAAATAATTGAAATGGAATATACAGAGGATACATCTTTCAAAATTTTAGACACAATCATAACATGTAAAATTTTTTGTGTGCGTGAAAGCTGAAGGTGTCTCAGGGTTTAGGACTTCACCTTGTGGCTGGTAGGTTGCCGGTTTGAACACAAGCGGTGTTAGTGTCAGCTGTTGTGACAAGACACTTCACTAATTTTGCCTGCTGGTGGCTGTCTGATGGACTGATGGTACCTGTGCTCGACAGCCTCTCTGTCAGTGTGCCCCAGGGCAGCTTTGGCTACAATGTAGCTCATCACCATCATTGTGTGAATGGATGAATGAGTGGTTAGGTAAAGGGTTCTGAAGTCCTCAGAGTCACAAAAGGGCTATTTAAATACACGCCATTTATCATATACGGATCTGTGTATGTGAATGTAAGTCATTATTTGCTTTTGTTATCTGTTACATTTAGGGCAATTATGCTGCACTCAGCTGCAAGACGAACTTTAATGCTTCGCCAGCTCCGTGAGGGATTACAGCTTTATGGCCTGATGGGAGTCATGGAAAAAAACAGACAACTTTGCCGGGACTTGTTTGTTGCTGGGAACAGCGATGAGGTAAACTAGAAAGATTTTTTGGACAAGAGAATTGTTAGCTTATCTGTAGCTCTGACAATGAGGAAATTACATTGTTGTAGTATTTTTTCTTCTAAATTACTACATCTCTTACGTCCCTTAAGCCAGCTAGGAGAGATGTGGTGGAGGGAGTAAGGAAAAGGTGTGTGTGGTTAATAATAATTGAGGAAGGTGTCGCTCAAACAAAGGGCTTTATTAAACAAACAAAGGAGGACCGAAAGGAGCAATCTATAAAGGAAAATGGTTTAACATAAAGTACAGCCCCCCGCTGGGATACAAGCTGAAATAGTCTTAACCAAAACACAAAATGGGAGCAGTCCTGATTAATAGTCACTCTTTCTAAGTCGAAGTCCTATACCAATCTAAAGTCAGTTTGCCGGTTTGTCAAATACCATAAATCCTCTAATACAGGCCCGGGCCTGTATTTGACCCAAGCTCCAGGCCTTTATTGGAAGGAGGGCCAGTATTAGAGGCAGGCCTCTATTTCTATTTGAGCAAAATGAACTAATGGTTCGCTGGAGTTTTTGACAATTAAAATTGCGCCCACATTTTCAAAGTTAAACACATTTCTTTTAACAACGGTAGTTTCTGCTTCAGCCCTCTCCCCCCTCCCCCTGCTTCAGCCCTCTCCCCCCTCCCCCTGCTTCAGCCCTCTCCCCCCCTCCCCCTGCGCAGCGGCCGCAAACTCACTGATGCGCCTGCAGCCTCTCGGAGTTCCTGCTGCTCTAAACATTAAAATAATTATTTCATTTTCTGTTTCTCACTTCTGATTAACTTCAATGGTGTCTGTTTGTTGCAACCAGCAGGTACAAAAACTAACTTGTTTTTATTTGACTATTTTTCTGTCCTGTCTGTTTATTATCTTTCTGCATCTCCTCTCAATCCTAAAGAAAAACTGCTACCTGGGTTCATATATATTCACCTCATGAGTTACCTTTGAACTGCAGTTCTAAAAGATCTACCAACCGCTAAAACAGCGGAGTGCTCGCTGCTTGCCGGCCGCATCAGTGATCGGTGCGTCACCGGAGGACAAGGTGATGCGCTCCGCTCCACAGCAGCAAAACACATCAGGCGCAAATAAAAGACAGAAAACATTAAAGGAAATGAACCGACATGAACGATCGCGTGTCAGTACCTACGCTCTGGCACAGCGCATTGCCCCCCCGAGCGCAGGAGCTTGTCACCTGCTGATAGCAGGCTGCTGTCTTTTCCGAGGGCTGCATCTTGCCGGTCATTATCACGTGACAGCGACTAGTCGATGACAGGCATAAAAAGTCACTATAGTGAAGTCGACTAGTTCATACAACCCCTGCTACTGCTCCCCAGTGTTCTGCAGCATAATCAGCACGTTCTCTTTGACTTTGATATCAAATTTTCGCCTCCTCTTCGTCTCCGCACGGTTAAAGTTACCCTCGCCATCTATCACTGGCAAATCAAAAGTGAGACGATGACACAACCGCCCCCCGTACTTGCTTATTACCACATTCCACCCGGCCACAATAAAATACCGGCCATTATTCACCTCCGCCGACACCGGCCAAAATATGATACCCGGCAGTTAATTGAATACAGGCCAATATTAGAGGATTTACGGTACGAGGTAATCTCTGAAGATGAGTCTATATACGAAGCTAACAAGTGCTAAGCACGCGAGGAGAAGAGAACAGACTGAACACCTCCGTGTCCAATCTATCCTGAACCTTCTCCCCGAATCTGTGTCAGTGACAGCCTTTTACCAGCAGTGGTGTGATTGGAATCACAGCTCAATAATACCTAGCTGCGGATGTAGCCCTGGCCAAACACCCCCCACCCCCCGACAAAACACGCCCCCCTGTTGAGCTATCCCCGAGCTCAATAACGGCGGCCCTCCCAGCGAACAACACAGTTGAAAGAAAATAAATAAAGAAATAGTAATAATGTAATTAAACAGACAGGACTCCAGGTTTAAATATGAATGTATGGATTTTTTTGGCCATCCCCAGTGAGATTATTTTTGTTTCTTGCATACACACTTTATGGCCATCCCCAGTGAGATTATAAAACACAGATACCACCAACAAATAATCAGTTGCCAGACAATAGGCACAACATACCTATGCTTACTGAAGTTAGCAGGTGAGTTATGTATGTGCAAGTGTTTATTTTAAATGCAATAAAATTAAAAATTATATTAAAAAATTTGCGTCCATGACGTCTTCCCCCACTGCCAATAATGCTTAATTTTATATAAAAGTGTTTCAGAAAAAAATTACGATTGCGCTATCTATCAAACTATGTCTTAAACGTTCAAATTTCTAGTACAAAATCTTCGCAAGTTGTAAAAATATAAATCTATCTTTACCTGAACCGTCATTTCCATCTCTTGCAACACGCATGCGAGTTCTCGTCTTCGTACATGCACGCGTGTTTTGTACATAGGGGCGTGTTTGGACGGGGGGCGTGTTTGGCCGGGGCTACATCCACAGCTAGACCTTACACAGCTGGGCAACTGGAGGATGGAGCCAGGTGAGGATGTTGCTGCTGAGGCCATCTTGTGGCTGAAAAGGGGAAGCGCATGTAACATAATAAAATTTTGTGGAGGATGATGGCTGTTCGCAGAATTGATTAGTGTTACTTTTCTGTCTTGCAATGGAAGCCTCATTGTTTTGTGGATAGGAATCTTGATATATATAAACAGTTCAATAGTAGATATTTGTTAACTGAGAATTGTTTGGTAAAAGTCTCAAAATATAATCTTTGTCAAAGAAATTTAACATTTTTTGCTTTTCTTTAGGTTGACTCGTTTTACATTGTGTCACATCTGTGCCCAAAGATGAGTGAAAAAGGAACACAAAGACATGCAACAGAGATACAAATCCTTAATAATTTCCAAGACTTCCTGCAGGAGCTTGAAGGCAAGTTATAGATTAATTTTAAGTAGTATTAAGCTTTCGCCCTGTAAGACCCAACCCATCCCAAAAATACAGAAAATTCAAATTTTTGGGAACTGAGATGTTTATTAGACTTTCTAAGAAAATGCACAAATGTTTGTTTCCTAGATCATGTTTTTCATGATGTATTTTTTGTATCGCATTTCATACATAAGGTGATTTGGTCTACTTTTAGTTAACAACAGTATTAATTTCTTATAACAAATTATTGTCCATAAGACATTTAAATTTTTTTTCCTCTTCTTTGATGTTGACAGTAATAATTTTCCAAACCTTTTTAGTTCACGTCTTTGGTGTGTTCTTGCTGTGTTTAGTTTCAAATTCCATCTTTCAGTTCTTTTTAAAACACAGAAAAAGTTTATTTACCTGCAACATTTCGTTTGCGGCTGCAAACATCATCAGGCTGACGCTGATGGTGGCATCAGCCTGATGATGCCCGCTCTCCCCTCTCCGATGATGTAGTCCCATGCACGATCCGAGTAAATCCATCGTCTCTGTTCATGGTCCCACATCCACGTCTCCTTATCTCAATTGCTTCTTTTATCCATCTTTTGTATTTTTGTTGTTTCAGTGTTTGATCCTTGTGTTGTCCCAGTCCATTATATGGTTTTCTCTTGTGCACTGATCTGTTACGGCTGACTTCTTTATTGTACTTTCTGCTTCATGTTTTGCTGCTCTTGTGTGTTTTCGACTTGCCTCTTTCTCGCACTCCTTTCTGTGTTCTATTGTTCGTGTGTTGAGTCGGCGTCCGGTTTCTCCTATGTGTGTTTTATTGCAGAGTTTGCATGGGATTTCGTAAATAAACTACCAATATATTTCGAAGCTTTTCTTGTTACTCATTTCAATTTATGTAAAATAACACAGAATTTGAATAGTAAATGTGAAGATCTTGCTGTTCAGGAGTTAATTTCTTCATTTTAATGTTTCCCCAGATGGTTCTGCAGAAGATGGACTGTCAGTTCCAGACGTGATGCAGTGGTTAACTGGCCAGGCGCACCGGCATTTGCTACTCTCAGAGAGAGAAACTTTTAAGATACATGTCAATTTTGACCACACATGCATGGAGCGAATGCCACAGCACACCACCTGCTACCCAGTTGTTAGTGCGTGCACACAAACAATAACATTTCCAAGTGTGCATTTCGTCAATAAGAATGACTTTAACGAAAAAATGGAAACGGCAGTCAAGAGCGGTGCAGGCTTCCACTTGATCTAACATAAGATTCCATTACTACTGTTGTTACTCTACTTATGTAGGTCTGTTTTCTCATCCGTTAATGTAAACCCATCCACCGAAACATTTTATTTTAGATTAACTGTGAAAAGAATACCTTCGTTATGTTTACAATGTTGCAGTTTCAAAGTTGAAATAAGAAATAAAGGTTTACATTTTTCAATGGTATTTTCACATTTAATGCGCAGTCATTATGTTTGAACAGCTCAGTTAATTAAAAACACAAAATACAAGCCAACAACAATTAATCCAATATTCTAACAGCATTTTAGTGGAATCAAACATTATGAAGGACTTATTATCTATTTACTGAACGCAGAATTTGCACCAGTTGAAGTGTCTGGACATAAAGCTCTTGGTCACTCAGAGGAGATGTGGTTGGATTTACTAATCCCTGAAGGACAGCAAGGTTCTCTTCTGAGAGAGGAGAAGGGATCTCTGACACCACAACCCCTCCATCCTCTAGGTCAGCATAAAAGCTGTAATCCTGGAAAAGATGCTCCACTGCCTGAAAGACAGAAGTTGGCTTTGATAAACATCCAAGCCTTATATTGACAACCCAAAACTGCAGGTTTCATTTTTCCTACTCCCCTTTTTATCCAGAATTATTTTAAGCCAACAGTGGCTTATCTGTGTTTTTTTGATGGACTAAATGTTATTAGAATTATGCTAACGATGAAAACAACAGTGCTTCATAAAGAAAGTGAAGTGCACCTCTACATTTGGCTCCTCAACAGGCGTTTGGAGCATCCCAATGTGCCACAGCTGCTCTGGAGAAAGGTTGCCTTCAGTTTTGATAGGGTGGAAGTTCCAGCTGTGCAGGAAGCACTTTAAGTCGGATTTCAGCCGTGGCAGAAACACATAATGGACACAAAAAAGGTGTATCTCGTCTGATAGATCAATCAGTTGCCCTTCTTCCATTGTGTGCAGTTCATTGTAGTATTTGCAGGTGACAGCTGACCACACATCACGCCACAGCCTCTCGATCCTGGAAATATGAATAAACAAAGATTTGAGGAAATAAATCGAATAAAAAACAAATACATATTCTCCCTACAGTGATTTAAGTAGTGTTATTTCACTTTCTGCTCACTCAATTCATTGTCCTTTACCTTTGATTGTGGACACTTTTGCCAGCAATGAAGCTGCCACGCCCAAAGCCTCGAACAGAAAACATGCATCGGGCAATGTCCACATTTTCCACCCCCTGATCGCCTCGAACTCTGAAAGTATTTGTTTTTTTATGTATTGTGTTATCATTTGACTACATATGACGAAAGTCGATATGTGGAACAGTCTACAGTACACTGAAAGAATATAGAACATTTAACAGTAATATGACAATATGCATTGTACCTCGAGGGCCATCCATGTTTTCCAACACCATCCAAGAAGAAAGAAAAAGCAGTTGAGGCTTTGTTGTCTGCGGCAGCATTGAGGTACATGATCTGTAAAAAGGATGGTAGAGGCAGAATAGTTTATTTTAATTCAATAGCTGTTTAAATTATAATTCAACAGAACTCATACTTTTCTTGAGAAGCCGTCAATCCCACCAAATATCACAATGTTATATCTGCAAACACAGGACAAATAAAAATTAAATCTGTCTTGTTGTTAGGTTTGAAAATGCTGAATCACTTGGATCAAGAATCTATTGTTTTTTTTCTACGTTAAGAGAGAAAAGTCCTGAAGAAAATAGACAATGAAACACTCACCTGATTAATTTGTGGTTGGTATCAATGTGAACCAAGGACAATGGCGCAGGAACACAGTAACTTCTACGAGCTACAAATCCAAGTTGTATCATTCTAGCCAAAATTCCAGCTCCATCTACCCGGTGCATCACAGCCTGAACCCTATGCCACTGCACCCGGTGTCCTCTGGCTAACAGCTCACCTTTCATCAGCCTAAACCCAGCATGGGGCATTCTACTTTTTATGGACCTCACAAGAACATCAAGTTCATCGTCAGATATTTTGGAATAGCACCCACGAACAGACAGGCCATGCTCTTTCATCCGCCTGTTAAGTGTTCTTCTTGAAACACCATACAATTGGGCCAAATGTTCTAAAGGAAGTGCAGTGGAAAGTAGATGTTTAAGATCATCAGACTGTATTTCAAGACGAGGGCGTCCCAGATTTCCCACAGCAACAGAAACAATGTCCAATGCATTAGTTGAGTCTCCTCCCAATGATTGAACAGGCAAGCTGAGAATGTTGATCAAGTCCCAGAGACCGTTCAAAATTTCTGTTGGGATATTGAGATGATGAGATGCCATTGACGCCAAAGAATACTCTTGCTGAGTAACATCCAAAAGGTAATCCAAATCGAGAGATTCGTTTCTGAGAACCAAGCTAAATCTTGTCCGAATCCTCTGGAGGAGTTCCTCTCGCACTTGCTCCTGCAGGCACAAACATGGCAAAGTAAACAAAATAAACACTAATACACTGCTTAATGATCCTGGGAAAACAATTCCCAATATGTTTCAGATGTTTCCATATTCAACACACAACACAAATTAATGGTCAACTATCAAGTTTCAGCAAAGTCAATAAATGAGCTGGCGTGCGATTTTGCTAAACAAATAAGCTAAAAAGTTGTAAATGTAGTTTAAGTGTCTTCCCATAATATCTTATGTTGATTTTGTCTGAGTTATTCCATTAAAAATCTGCAGTTTGACACAAAATTATGCAACTTGAAAATCCATTCACCACCACCCCTGCCACAGTTCAGAAAGTTTGATTTAGATTCTGATAAAAAAATAAAAATTAACTCTTACCTGTGATTGCATGTCAGCAGAGTCCTGCTAACACATATAACACCCTCTGTTGGCAGAGTTAAAACACAGGTTAGCTCCAGTAGCTACAAACTCTCTGACTTTGCACAGATTCCTATGGCTAATCAACAAGATTATTAATGTAGGCTGCACACGCAGGGGTGGGGGTGGGTGATATGCGCTGGTTTAGTTATGATACCGTTCCTCGCTTAGACTGGCAGGTGACCAACCAAAGCCCTGCTAAAGCATTCGGGTACTGGCTAGCACTTTGGCTAGGTAGCTAGCGATCTAACGTCTGGTTAATGCCTGACTTGGCTTTACTTAAGGGTTTTAACTCAGGGTTTCCAAGAAAATATCAAATAAACGATCAATACTCACTTTGATCCACAGTACACAGGGGAAATATGAACGTGGGTGGCGCTAAGACCCGTGAGGAACAAGTAAAATCGCGGGACAGCGTCACTTCTGGTTCCGGGTCACAAACTGTCATTCAGGATCACACTGTCCAATGGGAGAGCACTTCTCTTATGTCATACCCACCCGAGAGGGTTGGGCCAGAATTGCAATCAAAACCTCACGCAGCGCAAAGGAGAAAGCCGAGAAGTGAAACTGCAAATCTGGTAGCGAGAGCAAAAATCTGAGCAGTGAGAATGAAACAAAGGAAAATGAAAATAAAAATACGTGGAGTCAAACATAATAAATACAAATACTTTTATTACTCATTTTAATAAGTTGATTCGTATAGTAAGTTTCACTTTTGAAACGATTTTTTTTTTTTGCAATTAATTTTTTTTCACGCACATTCTTAATTTTTGTTTGACCTTCTAAGAGTTTTTCTTGAAATTATTGGCCCAAATCTAGTCCCATAGGTTTCTCAATTTCCTTGTAAAAATGCATGTTCTCACTCTTGTGTGGCTGAACGTATCCAAACCCTTTCTCTCAAAATAGTCACAGAGGACTTCTAGACCCCATCTTTCAGCAAGATCATGTTTGTTTCCATGAGTTAGGAAGGCCAAAAACCGTGAGGTGACTTTGAGAGGAGTCCATCCATCCATTTTTTGAATCCACGTAGGGTCGTGGGGGGGCTGGTGTCTATCTCCAGCGGTCAACGGGCAATCAGGCGGGGTACACTAAGAGCCAGTCCATCACAGGGCAACACAGCGACACACAGGACAAACAATCATGCACACACACACTCACACCTAAGGAGCAGAACAATCAACCTAACAGTCATGTTTTTGGACTGTGGGAGGAAGCCGGAGCACCCGGAGAGAACCCACGCATGCACACGGAGAACATGCAGACTCCATGCAGAAAGATCCCAGGCTGGGAAGCGAACCCAGGACCTTCTTGCTGCAAGGCAACAGCTCTAATCACTGTGCAGCCCACTTTGAGAGGAGTTGGCAACAAAATTAAAAACAAAATAAAAGGTAAATTTCCCAACAAACTAAAATGTATTTAGGATATTTTGAGATGGGTGGGGTGAGAATCAGCTCCTCTAAATCTGAGACCATGGTTTTGAGTCGGAAAAGGGTAGAATGCCTTCTCCGGGTCAGGGACGAGGTCATGCCTCAAGTGGAGGAGTTTAAGTATCTCAGGGTCTTGTTCACGAGTGAGGGAAAGCTGGAGCGTGAGATCGATAGGCGGATTGGTGCTGCATCTGCAGTGATGCGGGCGTTGTACCGGTCTGTCATGGTGAAGAGAGAGCTGAGTCAGAAGGCAAAGCTCTCGATTTACCGGTCGATCTACGTTCCTACCCTCACCTATGGTCACGAGCTTTGGGTAGTGACCGAAAGAACGAGATTAATGATACAAGCGGCTTTAATGAGTTTTCTCCGCAGGGTGGCTGGGCTTTCCTTTAGAGATTGGGTGAGAAGCTCTGTCATCCGAGAGGGGCTCAGAGTAGACCTGCTGCTCCTCCACATTGAGAGGAGCCAGCTGAGGTGGCTCAGGCATCTGATTAGGATGCCTCCTGGACGCCTCCCTGGTGAGGTTTTCCGGTCACGTCCAACCGGGAGGAGACCTAAAGGGAGACCCAGGACACGGTGGAGGGACTATGTCTCTCACCTGGCCAAGGAACACCTTGGGATTCCCCCGGAAGACCTGGCCCAAGTGACCGGGGAGAGGGAAGTCTGAGCTTCTCTGCTTAGGCTGCTGCCCCCACAACCCAGCTCCTGATAAGTGGAAGAAAATGGATGGATCATGGATATTTTGAGACAAAATTGCTGTTGGTTCTTATAAATTCCACTGCCAAAATATTTAACATCCAAAATCTATAATAATTTAAAATCACTCAGGTTCACTGATTTTATTTTGACAGTTAAACTTTTAGTCACAAAATCAGTAAAATAATTTGAGAAATCTTTAAAAATAAAACAAAAAAATGTTGTTG